TGTAAAAATGGTATTTATTACTATATTTTACAGTTAGAACAACTATTCTGTCATAGTTCATTTTACTAAATAATGTTACGGGCGCCTATAGGAACTACAGGAAATAGTAAAAAAGTAGTCAAATTTACTAGATTTTTTTTTGTGTGGATTTTTTGATATTGAAAATATTTTTATATTTACTTGTAGGATAGTATTTTTTGCAAAATTATGCTAAAATCTGACTTAATAACATATAATATTAAATTTTAGAAAGTTTAAAAGCTATCCTTAAAAAAATGTGAAATTTGGAAATTTTCCATTTTTTGAAGTTTTTGGAAATATTTTTATGTGCTACTGGGGTAATATCAGATTAAGTATTTAAGAAATTAACCTATTAAGTACATAATTAATTACTATTGTTCATTTTATTGTTATTTATTTATTCTTCTTCTGAAGAATTAAAAAAAAATTTTATAACTAATCAAAATGTTTGGAAGAATTTAATTATTTTCACAATGTAATGCTAAGCAAATTATTTCTTTATTTTAATTCAATTAGGGGAGGGTAGGCTACATTGAACCGGGTATTTTATAAAGTCCAAGAACTAATTAAATTTTACTAATTTCGATCAGGTTTTTGTATCAAAATTAAGCTGAAGTACTCCTTTAGTTAATACACACGTTACAAACACAAATTATTATGATTAAATAATTAAATTTAATTTTTTTCTAACAAGTCACACTTTTCTTATTTTGAAGGATGTGTGTCTACATTGAACCACCTCTAATAAAACACTACAATTTACTTCAAAAATAATATTTCCACTTACACATTGTAAAAAATCTTATTTTCCACTCAAAACAATAGAAAATTGTTATTTAATTGTTATTACTTGTTAATATAGGAGATTAATGTATTTTAATGTCAGGTTAGGTAGGTAAAATGACAGTTTGAGTTTATCTCGTTCACAATTGTGATGAAAGCATGTCTTCCAGTATTTTTCTTACTAATTAGTAGAGCAGACAATTTTACAACTCTTAAAATTGAAAATTCTTTGCTTTTTCGGGTGGTTCAATGATGCCGCACTCACTGTATTCACATGACATTCACAACAAAAATTGTTTATAATAAATTTGTGTAAGATTTAAAGTTCTTTATCACATCGGAATATTGAAGTTGACAACCTAAGCGAAATAAATCGCAAGTTTACTAATTTTTAAAACTTCCTATTTCAATAAAAAAACGTCATTATAATTCCACCAAATTTTTTGTTTTGTACGTGAAAAACAGTTTTTTTAGTTTTTCTTTGTAAATAATAAACCTACGTGCCCGAAATTTTTGGACATAGTTTGTTTCAGTAAAACTAACTTATATATTAAATAAGAAAAAATTTCACTCAGTCATTTCTCAGAAAATTGAAGTGGTTCACTGTTGACGCTGGTTCAATGTAGCCTACTCTCCCCTACTTAATAATATTTATAAATTTCATAGAAAGCATTTAATTGCTTTGAAAAATTTTGATAAATTCTTTAAAAGAATTAAATGGTTTCCAATACATTCTTTTTTAGATTCAAAATATTAGAAAAGAAAAATTATTAATTAAAACTAACCTCAAAATTAGGGGAGACTGGGGCGAAAAGTTAAATTGTGAAAACAGTTAAAATTCATTATCTTTCGAAGGGAAATAGTTAGAGCATTGCAATTTTAATTATAGAAGGGTGTTATCACCCTAAATAGATGTCCGGAGTTATGTGACATTCTGCTAATTTTTGTGGTGTCCATATTTAAATTTTTTTTCACCCTACTTTTGAAAATTTTTTCGTAAAAGAAAATATCAACTTTTAAGTATATTTTTTGCATTTATTCTCACCGCGATTTTTTTACTTCATTATTTGGGTCCCCTGAAGAGATACCTAAAGGTATTTGCTAAATATCTTTAGTCAGATTTTTTATATTTGTTTTTAAAGCCAAAAACGCACCCTGGGGCGAAAAGTTAAATGTATTTTTACATGTTATTAAAATTTTTTTTTATTTTTCGTTTTTTTGGGTTTATTTGTTTAAAAATTATTTATTTGACATTAGGCAAGTACTCTATTAAAAAACAAAGTAAACAAAGATCTTTTATTAACTAAATTACTTGTTTACGTATACTTTAACTTATGTACTACTTAACACCTATCAGAAAATAGTTTTAGTAGGCTAAAAATAGAATTTAACTTTTTGCCCCAGCCATTTAACTTTAAAGTTAAAAAAAACAAAATTTTCAAAAAAGAACAAAACATGTATAGTATGCGAAAATATCAGAAACTTTTTTATTGAAAGTTGTAGGGGACAAGTTGCCCTACAATATTGATGTATAAATATTTGCATCTAAGCGGATTATATTGTCTAAAAAAATCATTTATGCAAAATTTAACTTTTCGCCCAGTCTCCCCTAATAATCACATTTCTGATTCTTCTATTTTAAGGTTTATAAAAAATAATAACTAATTGTTATGAATTTTATTGTTGTTGAAAGTATTAAACAAATTACTTATACCTAATTGATAAATTATTTTAAACTATAAATCAAAACAAATAAAAATTGACAAACTGGAAAAACAACTTTACAGGATAACTTTAATAAATAATTTAAATAAACCTATATTTTTTTAGTTTATTTAAAAAACGAGAAAAACACCGATTTTTAAATTTTGAAAAAATTTTAAACTCGTTTAAAAACTTGTTTTTCCTAAATAATTTAGATGGAAAATGATAAAATTTCATGAATTTAGTCGAAAATCAAGATTTTTAAATTTTCTGTACAAAAAAAACGAAAAATATGATTTTAATGTAGTCTACAAGGCAGGCAAAACAAATGTCAATGCTGATGCCTTATCTAAAAATCCAGTTGAAGATATTATTGAAGAAAAAGTACAAGGAATAAAAGAAGAAAAAAATGGAAGAAACTCAGGAAATCCAAGAAAATGTAATGAAATGTGTGCAAGAAAAAATTGAAAAATACATACATTGTGTAGCAAATGAAACTAAATACTACTTGAATTCGAAAATAATAAGAAATCTCCATGATATCGAAAAAATATTTAAGGACAATGAATCCTGTGAAAATTAAGAAATATTAAGAATTCTTCGATCTATTAAAAAATTATTTAAGGACAATGAATCCTACATGAATTTGGAGATAAGAAAAAGTCTCCAATCTATTAAAAAAATATTTAAGGGCAATGAATCCTACATGAATTTGGAGATAAGAAAAAGTTTCCCACATATTGAAAAAATAATTAATGAATGCTACACGAATTTGGAGATAAGGAAAAGTCTCCCATCTGTTGAAAAAATATTTAAGGACAATGAATCCTACACGAATTTGGAGATAAGGAAAAGTCTCCCATCTAGTGAAAAAATATTTAAGGACAATGAATCCTACATGAATTTGGAGATAATGAAAAATCTCCCATATATTGAAAGCTATTATTGAACAAGTAAAAAAACTTGTAACGTCATAACAAGGAATCAAAGAAAAATACAAGAAAATGATAATCAAGAAAAGAAAAATGAAGAAATCCAAGAAATTGAAAATGAAGAAATAAAAGCACACAAAACAAAGAAACGAGGTAGACCGAAGAAACAAAGCACACGTTTAAATACCTCCTTTTCCAAGAAGAGAAGGGGAAGACCGAAAAAGGTATGTAATACAAATAATAAGAGAAAAGAAAAATTTTATAATGAAGTTATTTCTGACGAAATTGAATCAGATTCTGAGTATATTAAAGAAAAATCAAATTTAAAGAAACACGAAGAAATTGACCAAGGCTACGAAAATTCGAATTCTGAAGAATCATCTGATGAAGAAGATAACTTAGTGGAAAATGAAAATTGTGAAAATTTAAATAATAACCAAGAAAAATATATTATCGACTGTAGAGACCAATTACCAATACGAAGAGATAATCTAACCTATTTTCTTTCAGTTGAGGGAGATCCTCGAGATAATGGCTCCAGATCATTAGCCAAACGCGAAAAATTGCCAAATTTTGGTAAACTTCAATTAGGTATAGCAGAAAAAATTAAGAGAGGTATATATTACCATATCGCTCTCCCTATAGAAAGTGAAATAAAAGAAAATTTATCTTATACAACAAAAAGAATAAAATCTTCAATTATTTCAATGAAAAATTTATGCGAAGAATTAAAATTAAAAAGTATCAGTATTGCAAAAACAGCCCAAATAAACAATGTAACTTGGAACGAAATCCTATCAATGATAAAATTAATTTTTGAAAATTCATTTGTAAAAGTTGTTGTATGTAATGGATATACAAAATATCCTACTAAAGAAGAATATATGCAGTTAATCGAAGAAGCTCATTCAAGCTCAGCTGGAGGACATAAAGGTGTGACAAAAACTTATGGAAGAATAAGACAAAATTATTATTGGGAAAATATGAAAAATAATATTCAAAAATATATACAAAGTTGTCTCCAATGTCAATTAAAAAAATTAGTTAGAGTCAAAACAAAAGATCCAATGATTATTACAGACACACCAGGAACAGCGTTTGAAAAAATTGCAATGGACATTGTCGGTCCATTACCAAAAACTAAAAATGGAAGTGAATATATATTAACAATACAAGATAATCTTACTAAATATTCTTTAGCAATCGCACTTTCAAATCATCAAGCTAGTACAATAGCTGATGCATTTATTAAAAAATTTATTTGTATTTTTGGATCACCCAAAGGAGTATTAACAGATCAGGGGACAGATTTTTTAAGCAACTTAATTTAATTAAGGAAGTGAAATTGAAATATCTGTTAATCGTCGAAATAATTTGAATTTACCTCCTTTGGAAGTAGATGATAATACACGGATATGTCTTAATTGCAATCGCTTAATACTCGATGAGATAAGAATTAATGCAGAAGACCCTAATTGCGTAAAATTGAATGTTTTGAAACAATCTCGAAATGGTTCCTGTCTCATTTGTAATGAGGTGGTTGATTTGCATCGGCTATCCATGAATTGTAGTGCGAGTGTCTTCATCTCAAAAAACATTTTTATTCCGGAACTTGTCAAATCATATGAACATCATTTAGACGATCAGGGTTATCTTCTGCCACCCTTGCTACTTGGTTTGCGTTATGTTCACAGACCCTACCAATTGACAGGACAGCAGCTGCAAACTTTTTTGCAAAGTCTACGTCATGTAGCAGAAAGTATGTCCAGTATTAAGAATGAGAATAGTTTTACTGATGAGGCATTTGAAAGTTTCTTCCCTGTAACAAAAGAACAGTTCCAGGAAATATTCAGATATTGTGAAGAATCACCAGTACCACGTATTGGTGGATTTAGGTATGTTAGCAAGAAAGATTTATTAATGTTTTTATGCAAATTAAGACACGGTCTCTCGGATGAATTCCTTTCGCACATATTTCAATACTCAACTCGTCAAGCGACAAGTTTGGCTGTTGCCACTGTTAGAGAGTCTTTGATGATGCGTTTTGTTCCTACGAACATTGGCTTTGATGCAATCACACGAGAAGATTATATGAATTTACACGTTTCAGAATTTACTAATAACTTGTATAATTCCCAGCCAAATACTCCTCGAGTTATCGCAATCATTGATGCTACTTATACTTATATTGATAAAAGTTCCAACTTTAGGTCTCTCCGGCAGTCCTATTGTGTTCATAAAGGCCAGCATTTAGTAAAACCTTACATGATAGTAGCACCTGATGGTTACATCCTTGCAATCCAGGGCCCATATTTCTCGGATAGTCGTAACAATGATGCTTCTATTTTGCGCAATGAGTTTGAGAAAGATGCTGACAGAATGAGACACTGGTTTCAAGAAAATGATATTGTCATTGTTGATCGCGGATATAGAGATGCGACGGAGTTACTCGAACAGTTAGGCATAGTTTGCAAAATGACAGCACATCTGGAACGTGGACGAAATCAGCTTAGTACTAAAGAAGCTAATGCTTCGCGTCTTGTCACAAAACAACGGTGGGTAGTGGAAGCGAGAAATGGCCATATAAAATTAATTTTCAAAATCTTCGCCAATCTTGTACAGATTCAGCATGTGCCACACGTAGGAAATTTTTATCGAATTGCTGGTGCAATCATTAACCGCTATCGTCTTTCATTAATAATGAGAGATGTTAACGCAGATCTTGCTCAACATTTGCTCGAAAAAGTAAATGAAGTAAATGTTGTTCAAGCACTCGTGGAAGTAGAAAATCTTCATACTCGAAATGCTCAACGATGGATTCGTTTGGATGCTGCATTATTAAATGATTTTTCAGTCCTCACGATTGACTTCTTAAGAGATCTGACAGTTGGTACATACCAAATTAAACTATCTCCTTCCTATATTCAGGACAAACTGGCTAGAGATAATGATGAAGAATTTCAGATTAAAATGTTGCGAAATGAGGAACGGACACCTACACCGGGTTTTATCAGAGTCCGAGTGTTTTCGAGATTTCGAAATGCCGGAAAATATCAATTATGGGTTTCTTATCGACCAATCGTGGAAAGAGATCAGGAAATCGAAGAAGACTACAATCCAATAGATGGATATTATTGTACCTGCAAATCTGGAAGTCGCACAATTGGCACTTGCGCTCATGTTGCAAGGGTCCTTTGTTATCTTGGACACGCAAGATACATCGAAAATGTTCGATATCCTTCATTAAGATTGGTGCAAACAGTTGAAGATGCTCAAAACAGACCACAATAATTACAAAATCCTACAATCAAGGGAATACTTTATGATATTTTGTTTGTTTTGTTTGTATGTCATTTGTTAAGTGAACTAAATTAATTAGTTAGTTTCTTTGTTTGTTAGCTATTTTGTCGCTTGCATAATAACTCAATCATTCATTCTGTATGGCAGCTATTTGGCATATAAATCAAATCAACAAAGCAACGGTTTTTTTTCAATAATTCCAAGAAATAAATAGGTATCAAATTACACGTATGAAAATTTCCTTAGATAAATCCCAAACCGGAAGCAATAAATCAAAGACATTATAAACAACAAGTAAATGGTAAAAATTAAACTGACTGACTAACTAAATACCTGACTAACTGAATAACTAACTAACTGACTAGCTTACTAACTAGCTTACTAACCAGCTAACTGACTAACTGACTAACTTTTTTTTTTAGAAGTGTCTAAAAATGCCTTACGCATCCCCTTGGTGGTGTTGTTTAAGGTATGTGGGACTCCCTTCTTGGTTTACCCACCAAAAACCTAATATTCTCTTTAAACAGCTCACTGTTCACTTATCAGATTCGTAATCAGCGACCCCAAAAACCCCCTAGTAACAATTTTCAATCGATTTTGATTTATTTTTTTAGATGTTATCAATTTTCATAAATTATTGGAATTTATGACTTAGGGGTAGTTTTTAACCCCTTTCCCTCCACTTTGCAACTTTTCAACTATCATTTTCGGTTTCAGCAGGGCTCAAACTGTTGGAAACTACTATGCTTCTACAATTTCCTTATGGGCAAATTTTGACCCTTTTTCAGCGCCGTTCTTTAAAAATTTAAAAGAAAAAAAATTAAAAGAAAACATCTAGAAATGTTACATATTCAAAATAAAAAATTCAAAATAAAAAAACTGTTACTTTTAATTCAAAGTGATACATCTTCCCTTAACAAAAAAGTGGACAATATTGAAAGTGATATTAAAGTTTTAAGAGCGGAAAATGAGAAACTCTCCAATGAAGTTAAGAAGTGCAAATCAAAATACAGTGACTTGAAAGTGGAAAATAATTTTCTCTTGGAGAAAATAAACACTTGTGAATCAAAACTCGACTACCTTTTAAATAAAGAGAGAGAAAATAATCTCATCCTCTTTAAAGTGAAAGATAGTCCTAAAGCATTAAACAGTAAACGATTACAACTAGATAAAATGCTAGACAGTAGAGGGAAAAAATTAGTCGCGTCAATGGAAAGCAATGGGTTTATAGTAGTGAATGAAAGATAATTCTTATCATCCACATATCTAAAGTAAAATAGAGGGGCACAATTATATTTTTCTTTTACTATTTTAAGACAGTCATTTTCCAGATCATCCACAGCAATGTCAGAAACAAAGGCCGAGATTAGTGAGCCTATAGGAGTTGCATAAATCTGCCTATAAAATTTCCCATTGAGTGAGAAATACGTGTTATTAAATACAAACTTAGTGCAGAATGGAATTTTACAATTTTGATTAATAGAGCGATGTGAGTTATTTCAAAAATTTCTGACAAATTAAAATTTGTCGATTTTTTCGTTTTTTTGTACAGTTAGTTAGTCAGTTAATCAGTTAGTCAGCCAGTCAGTCAGCTATTCTGTTAGTTAGTTATTCTGTTAGTTAGTAAGCTAGTCATTAAGTTAGTCAGTTAGTCATCTAGTCATCTAGTGAGTCAATTAGTTAGTGAGCTTGTCAGTTAGTTAGTAAGCTAGTCAGTCACTTAGTCAGTTAATCAGTTAGTCTGTTAGTCATCTAGTCAGTCAGTTAGTTAGTGAGCTACTCAGCTAGTCTGTTAGTCAGTTAGTTAGTCAGGTATTTAGTTAGTCAGTTAGTCAGATAGTTATTCAGTAAGTCGTCTAGTCATCTGTCCAGTCAGTTAGTTAGTAAGCTAGTCAGTTAGTCAGTTAGTCAGTCACTTAGTCTTACTAACTGACTAGATGACTAGTTGACTAACTCACTAACTAACTAACTAACTAACTAACTGACTAACTGAATAACTGACTAACTGATTAACTCACTAACTCACTTTTTTTTCTTTAGTTTACTAAAGTTTACTATAGTTTACCTCAGTTTAGTTTACTTTAATTAGTTTACTTTACTTTAGTTTACTTCAGTTTCGTATAGTTTACTTTAGTTTCGTAAAGTTTACTTTAGTTTGATATTTAAATAAAGTTTACTAACCTTAATTTAGTTTAGTTTACTTAACTTTACTTAAGTTTAGTTAAGTTTACCTAAGTTAAGTTTACTTCAGTTTAGTTTAATTTAGCTGACTTTAGTTTTGTTTGAGTTTACTTAACTTTACTTAAGTTTAGTTAAGTTTACCTAAGTTAAGTTTACTTCAGTTTAGTTTACTTTAGCTGACTTTAGTTTACTTCGGTTTACTTTACTTTAGTTTTGTTTGAGTTTACTTAAGTTTACTTTAGTTTAGTAATTAAATTAGTTTAGTAACTAATAAAAATAATTTTTTAACAAAACTAACGTAACAAACGTAAAGTTAGTAACTTTATTTACATTAGTTACTTTTTTGTAAGTTAGTTATTATAATTATATTATTATATAATTATATAATTATATTATTATTATTATTATTTATGTACCAAAATTTGTAATTTTTTATTTAAAGTTCCGACTTTAAATCGCAAAATAGAATGATATAGTTTAAATAATTACATGGTTTTCAATCAAAATATTTTTATTTTAACAATTTTTTTTAAACAATTTTTTAAACAAAACTTTTACTTCAAAAACTATCCTTAGACCTCATACAGTATAAATGCAGGCTAATTGTTTATAACATTTTTACAACAATATGTCTTTTTTAAATTATGTAATATACGTTCTCGTAGTAGTTTTTTGCGTCGAATCTAATGGCGCTATCAGTTTTTTATGAAAATTAATTTTTCTTCATTTGTTTATAACAAATTGTTTAAAAATTTTTTTTTTAATCTTTAACGTCAAAAATTATCATTAGACCCCATGCCAGGATCTCAATAGTTACTTGTTATATCAGCGTTTCTGTGCCCATGGGTATTAATGGGTTAAAAAAGGAAAATAATGTTTATAAAACAGTTAAAAATATATTGTTAAATATATTGTTAAATATATTGTTAATCTTCGTGATGAAGATGATTGATCTGTAAATAGTTAAATAAAACATATTGAAACATTTAAAGAAACGTCGAGTGTGGAGGCCTTGGCACACAGGAAGAGGCACATGGAACGTCGTAAGCCAAACATTTAAACAAACGTCGAGTGTGGAGGCCTTGTCACACAGGAAGAGGCACATGGAACGTCGTGAGCCAAACATTTAAACACACGTCGAGTGGGGAGGCTTGTTGCACCAAAGAGCCAAACATTCAAATGGCATTAGATTAATGAGGAAAGTTTGATATAAAAAGGGGTACCATTTCTGTTTAGAACAAAGAGTAACTATTTAGAAATCAACCTAAACACATCATTCAGCACAAGAAACCAGAGAGTAGTTTTTTTGAAATCAACTTGAACACATCGCTTAGTACAGAGAGTAACTATTTGGAAATCAACCTGAACACATTGTTCAGTACAGGAGACCAGAGAGTAATTTGTTGGAAATCAACTAGTACCCATTATATCGTCTACAAGTGAACTCAAAGTACATCTTTAAAAGTGAACAGTATATCCTTAAGTATTATTGTTGAAAGTACATCTTTAAAAGTGAACTATTTCCCCAAGTATTAAATTTCAAGTGAACTTTAATACATCAATTCGCAACGTATAAATTTTAACAATTTCAAAAAAAAATATATAAATTTGGAAATAACTCAACTATCAACGAAGGTCTAATATTGAAACAACACATTCCAAATTTCGAACCATCGAAATTTGCTCAAGAGGCGACAACAGTCTGGAAGAAAGCAGATATTTTCACAATAATAGTGTAAACAAGAGGACTAATACCCAACCATTAAGGACAACAAGCAGAAGGGCCCCCTTTTCGTCTAGCGCTCAACACAATTGAGATTGGACAACAGATTATCATCACACCACCAGTAATCGTTATTCTTTAAGTAAGATTCATAATTTTTGTACTCATTGTATTTTTGTCAACTCTTTTCTTTCTTGTTGGTTTTTAAATAAATTATTCTCTCAATACATTTAGTAGGCTCATTGACTTATCCTCATCCCAAATTAGATTCATTTATGAAACTAATTTAAAACGAGGAACGTTAGGTATATTTAAAAAGGTTTCTCGTTTTGACGTAACAGAAGCCCTTTTAAATTTTGGTGCATCGGCCCGGGAAATTAAAAAGTCGATCAGCCATATAATTTTGTCAAATTTTTAATAAAATTCAAAAATTTTAATGAATATAATTTTTAAATTAATGAAATAATTCAAAAAAAAATGAATCAATGAGTATACCATTTGTAAAAAAAAGGGGAAATTTTTTTTTTGAGTAACAAAGAATAATAAGAAATAATATCAACATAAAATAAAAATAATGATCAGTAGCATTTAATAAGATAAAAAAAATATATTTTTATTTAGTACATTTTATGCTAATTTGATAACATTATACAAGATTTAAGACGAAAGGTGCATTCATAAATATACATCTTATATTGGTATTGATGAATAGAGGTTCGAGTCCTCTTAACTTATAAATTTTTTAATGTGCATGGTGCATTTATTAATTCAATTCTGTATTGGTAAATAGAGGTTCGTGTCCTCTCAACTCATAATTTTAAAAGTTGCAAGGTGCATTCATCAAATTAAATCCTTTCTTATATTACTGAATAGGGGTTCAAGTCCTCTAGACTTATGAAATTTTTTGTCTTGTATATGAATCATTTTATGATATTTAATTGTGCTAAAACAAAATTCGTTTTCTTCATTTAATTGTGATTTGTTATTATTATTAAATATTTAAATATATTTTATTATACTAAAGCAAGATAAAAATATTAACCACAAAAGAAAAGTGTATTTTATATTGAAGAGACAAGATTGACAA